AAATATATTTTATTGATTTTTGTACAGAGAAGAAAGGAGAGAGATAGAGAGTTAGAAACATCGATGAGAAAGAGTCATTGATCAGCTGCCTCTTGCACACCCCCTACTGGGGATATGCCCACAACCAAGGTACATGCCCTTGACCGGAATCGAACCCGGGTCCCTTCAGTCCCCAAGCCGACGCTCTATCCATTGAGCCAAACCAGTTTTGGCAATTTTATTGATTTTTTTTACAGAGAGGAAGAGAGAGGGATAGAGAGCTAGAAACATCGATGAGAGAGAAACATCGATCAGCTGCCTCCTGCACACCCTCCACCGAAGATGTGCCCACAAGGTACATGCCCTTGACCGGAATCGTACCTGGGACCTTTCAGTCTGCAGGCCGATGCTCTATCCACTGAGCCAAATCGGTTTCGGCTGCCTACTTCTTTTTTTAAAATTTATTTCACTCTGGAATTCTGACTCCCTTCAGAGCCCTTCCAGAGAAGTCTGGGGTTCCCAGAGGGTGTCTCCTGCTGGCCTCTATGAACTTGTTTCTGAGTCTTTTACAAATGGACCCACCTCAGTAACCCTTCTGGTCTCCAAGGTATCCTTACGTCCCCGGGCACCTATCGTATCTATCATCCACCCTTCCTACAGCAGGGTCCCCACGGGAGACAGCACAGCCCACCGAGCCAAGCTTTCGGACTCAGACAGACCCAGAATCAAACCAGGCACAGCCACAGCCACTTACTAACTCTGTGACCTGAGCAACCCACTCGACCTTCCTGAGCCTCTTATTCCATGTAAATAATAGTATCTATTCAGAACTCAAAAGATTTTTACTTCTGAAATATGTATACATAATTTACTAAGTGATTATCAACCTATTTAATTCTAGATAAAAGCCTTTCATGGAGGTATGATGGTGATCCTCACTTTGTAGATGAGGCCATTAACCACAGAGAGGTTAAGTACAGTCACTTGCTCAAGGTCACACAGCTAATCTGTGGCAGAGGTAAGATTTGAACGCAGGTGTCTGGCTACCGAGTTCTTGTTCTTAGCCACCATCCCAACCAATTTTTTCAGAGTCAAACAAGGAAGTATTTTTTTTTTTTTTTAATGCTTTTGTTATGATGGAAATTTTCAAACACAAAAGTAGTGAGAATCCCTTGTACCCAGCACTCGGCTGCAACAAGTATCAACATCCCACTGTTGTAAACAAAGAGGTTTTTAATTTGTATTTTCCTAAAGTTGCAACAAAAAAATATTTTTGCTGTCCTTTTTGATCTTGCTTAAGTCACTGGCTAAATTTAGGCAGTTTCCTTTGGTTTCCTTGCACAATCATGAAAACAGCGGGTTCTTATTTTTGCCCAGTGCTTTCACAATGACATTCGGGATGTTACTTTGCACAGTTTAATCAGTACATGGACTTCGTTATTCCATTGAATTTTCAGGGAGCTTTTTAGACACGCAGTAAGATGGCTGTGATCCCCATTTTACAAAAAGGTCAAATGAAGTCAAGAGAGCTTAAGGAATTTAGCCATGCCACCTTCCTCGTAAGCGGAGGAGTATATCGAAAAACCAGTTGATTTTTAATGTTTTCAGTTGGCATAATCTCTGGACATGAATACAGAGCAGAAAAGCAGCAGTCTCTGGAATTTGATAGACATCAGCACAAATCACCATTCTTCTCATGTACGATCTTACACAGACAACTCTCTGAGTCTTCCACTCCTCGTCATTAAAATGGACAAGTAATACAAACAGGTTGATTGCAATGATTATATTTTTAATTATTATATTAAACTAGATGCCTTGTGCACAGATTCGTGCACTGGTAGGGGGCGTGGCCTGCAGGAATCGGCCCATTGTGGGAGCAGCCACTCATCCTGGTCAGCTGAGCGACCGTGGACCCACCCTTGAGCTGCTGCTCCTGCTATGGAAGCGTCACTCATATGAGTCAGCTGAGTGATGCTCCCTTTATGGGAGTGCACTGACCACCAGGGGGCAGCTCCTGCATTGAGAGTCTGCCCCCTGGTGGTCAGTGCGCATGATAACAACTGGTCAACTGGTCATTCTGGTCATTCCGCCGTTCCGTCACTGGGCTTTTATGTATATAGATATTAATTATAAATATATAATGTGTGTAACCTAATATGTATGCATATAACCAACATGTATGCATGTGTAAGAGTGTGTGCATATGTGTATCACCCATACCATGACAATATCACCACACATGCTTATTAAACATCACTTCCTTTTCTCCCTTCTAGATGAGATCAATCTGAAGAAAATCTTCCCAAACCTTTTCAGCATTAAGATACTGACCACAGTCCATGTATGCTTTTATTGTTCCCCAAATTTTTTACTTCTTTGGGGCTCAGTTGCCCCATTGCACTGAGGATGTCCCAGTAGTTTTATCAATGACATTCTTTACCTCTTTGGAAAATCTGACCCAAATCTCCATTATTTCATGTGAATTTTGTTCCCCCTTGAAAGCCACTTAGAGATTATATATGGTTTCATAAAAAGAATCATTCATCTCTGATCACTAAATAAAAGAATGCACCATAAAATTTGCCCCTCTCCAGTAGGCCTTTTCTAAGTCAAATAAACACATTCATGCTTTGCATTTTCCTTCCATGTATATCAATAGAGTTTTTTAAGATCATTATAAATGATTCATTTCTAGTTCAAGTCTGTTAGACTTTAACAGTGAAGGAACATTTTGTCTTTGGTAACTGGGAACATCATCTCTGTTTCTGCCCTCATGTTTGCACTTAAACTACTCTCTTAAATCAGTAAAATCATCAAGTGATTTAAAAAAAAAAATTCGAGAAAAACAGTTCCTTTTACTTGCTCCATTCCATGATGAAACGTCCTTACTTTGGAATGGACGGCATGGTGCCCAGTGCAGGTTGGCACTCAATATATTGTTGAATGAATGACATCATCTATGAATTATTACTTTTTCAAGAAATCTGTTATGATTATTTCCCATACATATGTGAGCTCATAGTTGTTTTCAAATAGTAATCGTTTGGAAAGTTGTTTAATGACTAGGGCGTAATAATGTTTAATGGACATATTGATCATCTTATGCAAAAGGATATTTTTAAGTAGAAGAAGAAATGTGTAAGTTTCTCTTACACACATTCTAGAACACACTTGGAGCTCAGGTGAGATTTCCTGGGAGAAAAATGAAGTCCTCAGAGTTGAGACTTTTGGTAGGACGATTATAGAAATAGAATATATAGCTCCCAAAAATGTAGATGGAGGGAGTAAGTAGATCAAAGAAGACATAATTCACTGAAAAAGTCAGGAATCAGGGGGGGAGGGCAAAGAAAAGTTATAATAACTAGAAAAAATAATATTAAAATAAAGATACATAGTTTATACTAGAAAAATACTGATCAAAATAAAGATGTTCTAATCATGTAAGTGTCAAATAGATTAGACTTTAAGAGAAAAAATTATTATTTAGGAACAAGAAAGGTTATCATATACTACTAGTATATCAGAAAAGCACAAGCAACTATAGACAACAAATATCAGCAATATAGCCTTAAAATATTAGGTTGAGCCCTATAAAATTGTCAATACTTGACTGACCTCCAAAGGCAGTAATTTCATATAAAGTAAAAGTCAATAAAATTATGAAAAATTAAATTTCGTAAAGTGCTATTTTAACATGCATCTGTTACAAACTGGTTGATCAAGTGACCAAATAATGAATTATGATGTTTGATATTTGAGCAACATGATTAAGACACTTTGTAAAATTCTCATATTTAGAGTTTTATCTCAACTCTTAAATAATCTTTTCAAGTTTTCAGGAAACATTTAAAAATACTAGGTTCATAAAGAATATCTCAATAAATATCAAAGAATTGACAAACCATATGGATTATATTCTTTGACCCTCAATACAATAACTCCATACCCTCCCCCCCCAAATAGTCCAAAATACTTTTGTATATTTGGAAACTAAAAATGTTTCTAAATCATTCATAAGTCATGATAGAAATGAAAAATAATGCCAACCTGGTTTATCATGATCTGATTTCCCCCATGTTATTCAATCAGTGTAGTAATTTAACATCTGGTAATGCCAGGCAAACTAATATTGCGGACGTCAGGAACAAAACAAAAAAAAGCTGAGTTTTCAGTGGGGGAAAAAAACAACCCATAAAGTCTTATTTTACCTATTTGCTCATAAATTTTGTGTCTGGGTTTTACTTAGTATCCTCTCCTTTTCCTCCCCTCTTTCTTCATCGTTGAAAAGCCCACAGGCGCATGACCACCCATGTTGAGCGCTTCTCATGTGGTCCCCATGCCCTCACCACCCAAGGCTCTTCTGAAAACACCTGGCCCCTGTGGATGACTGAGGGGACCGCCCTGGGAACATGTGGGGAGACGACAGAATGGCCCCTCAAAACACCAGCTTCTTTCCTTTCCCACGGTAGGTTTCACAATCTATAACATCACATCTAAGTGAACCCTGGTAGGTGGTTTTGTTGAACCAGGCATCTCGCTACTCATGGATTGTGCGTGGGTATGGCCATGTCCCTTTAGAGTTCCAGGCAAGTGGATCAAGCACCTGCTGAGAGCAGCATCTACGTCCCAATCAAGAGCAATACACATCTGAGCAGGGGAATGTGTTTTCCTTCACGGCTCACTTCCTAGTCCAAGTAAAACCTGTTCTTACAATGCCACGGGCATTAGGACACAGCGGGCAGCGGGGAGGAGCATGCAGAGGTAAGCACAGCTGAAGTCCCTTCGTTAGGACTTGAGTTAGAAAGACCCAGGGATTCCATCTGTAACATTCTTCCGAGAATATCACAATGTCAACGTTCCAAAGAAGTCTAGAGCCCCAGAATGGGGGTCTAGGATACCAGAGAAAGGATGGAGAGGCAAGCCCATGAGTCCTGGGACTTTGAATAAGGGCAAAGGCTAAGAAGGAGGAAACAAAGTGAAATCCTGTCAACACTGTTGAATCTGAACAGCATCCAAGAATGTTCAATTTCACGCATTGGAAGGTCTCCCAAGTAAGCAAAACCTTGAAGCCATGTGACAATGTCAGGTAATCAGCTCATCTCCTTTTTCCTCTCTGCAGCCTGGGACCTCAAAGTAGCAGCACAGTCTTTCTGAGTCAGAAGCGTGGGCCAATCCGTCAGCCAGTATTTTAATAACGTGGATAAGGAAACCATAAAAAAATATATAGATGCATGTCCTTGCCGTAGGGCAGTGTTTCCCAAACTTTTGACATATGTGTACCCCTTCTATAATTTTCGTAACGCTGAGTAGCCCTCGTACTCATGAGAACGTAGAATTAGGCGCAGCTAAGCATGGTGCAGTGCATATCCCCACCAAACTCCGGTGCAACGCGTACCCCCACCAAACTCTTCCTGTACCCCTGGGGGTACGCGTACCACACTTTGGGAAACACTGCCGTAGGGGAGAGGGCATCTATGGATATTTTTCTTCCCGTATTTATTTCCTTCCATGTTATCATATTAAAAATAATGTAATGGGTAAAACGAATCATTGTGTTAGTTGAAATTCATTCACCACCCCAAATTTTGACCCTGTGGTTCAAAGGTAAAAAGTCCAGCGCAGAGAGTCAACCTCGTAAGGAAGTCAAGGAGAGGGCATCAACCTTTCCATAGATCACTCAGGGATGTTGAAAAAAGTGACACTCCCTTCCCAGCATCCTCTTGTTCTGGAGCCCCTAGTGCCTCTACTGTCAGAGAAAAGTAAACGCCACCAGTTAAGGGTAACGTCCTCTGTTCTCGTTGGAAACATTTCACTTTGAGATAAACCCAGCCTCCTTCAGGGAAAGACCCAGTCAACACAAAGGCTATTCCTTCCCCCTCTCCAGGGGTCACTGGTTCCCTTCTCCTTCCCAAGGAGGTATCTGGGCGTGGAGGAAGTTGAAATATCCTGTAGCAGGGGTCCTTAGCTACACACTGGTCTTGTGCGGAAAGGTCCCGGGCTGCTGTTGACTTAGGTGTGGCTAATCTTGCTGTCCTTGAGCATCCTGCTGGCATCTCCTACCAAAACCCAAAGTTCCTGTGACCCCTCAAACCATCAGGTCCCTGAGCTTTGAGGCCCTGGGCTTCGTTGCATTGGCCAAAGGTCTACGCCAGACACCACTGCCTTCAACACCTTGGGGGCCTCTAACCAGAACACACAGGGGACTCTGGGCTACTCTGGCTGTCTCGCTGCCTCCAAACCTTGGGACACACAGTGGAAGCAGAGAATGAGCCAAGATGTGTTGACTCTCCCCCAGGCTCTGGGCTTCCTGGGAGGGCTTCTCATGCCTCATCCACTCCTGCCCCCGTTTTGCTTAAGCCTGGTGGGGTGGCTGGAGAGGAAGCCTGAGGGGAGAGGCAGTTACTTCTCAATGACCAAGCTGAGATGCTCAACACTGGCTCTACCCTGGCAGAGGTGCCCTCCCATCTCGCATGGCAACGCTTTCTACTTCCTCTTCCGGTCTGGTAGAAATCTCTCCAGGTCATTTCCTCTGCCTGCTGGGCACCAGGGTTTTGATTCTGCTTGATCGAGCCTGGCTGTCTGTATGTTCAAGGAAACCTCTAGAAACTTAGAAAACCCCCTCTCACTTCACAACACCTGATGTGCACCTCGCTGTGGCTTCAACATGCCACCTTGAGCCTGGGACCTGCATCCGAGCCATGCTAATGGGGGCCGCAAGGAATGGAGAGGCCCTGTGCCACTTGACAGGCTTGTCATTCACACTGCATAGGGATGGCCTCCAGGTTTTAATTTAATTGTTCAACTTAACATTTTCCTTCACTTTAAACAATGGGTGAGTTCAAGTTAGCACACCAGGAGGTTCCAGTTTGCAACCTTTGCTAAATCCCATCCCAGCGCCCAGCACCCAGCACCCAGCACCCCAGTGCCCTCTACCCTTGGCTGTGAAGTTTGTCCCCGGCCTTCACAGGGCTACTGACCCCGGATGTGTTTCCTGTCAAACAGACAACCCTAATGTTTGTAAGGTTAGGAAGAGTGACATGATGGATCATGTGTGGGCGCCAGCATGAATGAGGCAGGTAGCAAGCGAAGACCTTCACCTGTGTCGTGTGGCTTCGTCTCCACAGCAGCCTGCACTTTACATCTAGATGCGGCTCCTGAGTCGCGGCTTGCTGCTCTGTTGACTAATGAGTTTGCCGACCACTGACCTAAGCATTTAAAAGAGGAACACTGTGGCTCCGTAGCTGAACTTCAACCTCTACACTCAGACAGCTGGTCAGGGGTTTGCTGACCACTGATCTAGAGCATTATCCACACGCTCAGGTGGAGTCACCTGGTTCAGGGACGGCAAGTCCCAAGCCTGAAGCCACGAAATAGAAAACAGCAGCGCTCAGGAGTCAGCTTCGGCATCTCCGACCGCAACACGTCAGTTCTTTCTATCAAAAGTAGACAGCTCCCCCGGTACAGCCCCGAGACGCCATGTGTGCAAACCAGAAACCCACGGGACGATCTGTGCTTCCAAGTCAGTTACCGGTGACAACCTCGAGATAATGCACTTTGCTTTGCAGGCAAATTCACCCACCGCCCAAATATTTGCTTCCTACCAGCACCCCGGGCACTGCTAGAACACCAAACAGAAGGCGATAAGCAGAGTAAAGAGAGGGATGGTGTGTGCTCAGAAGAGGGAGGCTGGTAGAAAAGTCAACAGAACCTGCTGAGGATGAATGGGGAGGCAGAGACTCGGCCGAGGGAATGCTAAGAGGCGTCTCTTTTCATTTCATGCTGTTTTTCCAAATCTGATTTACAGAGACATGTCATTTTTAGAGTGGCTTTTTAAAAAATGGGTTCCACTTGCTGAAACTCACAGGACAATATTAAATCACCCCCTAGGCACGCCTTGCGAGTCCCATGCACTTCCTTCTCTCTTTGCATCATCATTCTCGTCCTCCTTTCTTAAAGTTCCTGATATTCCTCTCAGCACACCCGGTTCTCAGACTCCCGGCACCCACATCTCATCGAGCAGTCTTGTTCCGACGCAGGAATAAGGTCTGGTCAGACTGGATGCTGCAAAGGAGAGAACCCAGGCTTACGTATTCCCATAGGCTCTGTCACTCACTAGATTTATTGCCGGCCCTTAAGTCATCTCTCATTCCCAGCTTGTGCCTAGCTCCATCTCATGTTCTCCCAAATGTTTCTATCATGACTTCTAAACTGAAGACAATAAATCAAAAGTGAGGCTTTTCTGCACAATATAAACTGATGAACAAAAACAGAGCCAGAGACACGGAAGCATCGAACAGACTGTCCGATCTATGAGGGAAGGCAGGGGAGCGGGTGGTGGGAAGAGATCAACCAGAGGACTTGTATGAATGCATATGAGCATAACCAACGGACACAGACAGTAGTGGGGTGAGGGCATGTGTTGGGGGGTGGGAGCGGCCAGGGAGAGGTCAATGGGGGGAAAAGGAGACTCATGTACTATTTTAAACAATAAAGAATTTTTAATAAGTTTTCAATATATTAAAAAGTAACAGTACAAAAATGCTTGTTATTAAAAAGGATCCAAATATATCAAGGAGTGAATGTGTATAAACAAGTTCTACAATTAAAGGGAAACATACATAAAAGTTTTAACAGGATTTAAAATTTTAAAAATCAGAATGAGTAAGACTTAACTCTTTCAAATGTTCAAACATAAAGACAACATGTACAATCCCTATAATAAAATGTGTCCTTGCACACATACCCTGGCCACTTTAAAACATTGTAAACATTTTAAAGTTTGAGTAATAGAGGCAGCCCACAAACACCGTCCTACCGCTCCAATAAAGCACACAGCGGAGTCCAAGCGAGGGGAATGCCACTGCCTGATTGTGAAAGCAAACAGCTAGTTAAACTTACAAAAACATGCTTTCCTTTAAAGTCACAGAAGATATTTTCTAACTCATTATGCTGAGCTGGGGAGCGGCATGCAAAGATAATAAACACACTTAATTTGAAACAGGTGGCAATCTGGTCCATCCCCCCCCCCGACTGGCTGCTTGACTTGGGGCCCTTTGAAAAGCATTCTTGGCTCTCTGGCTTTCTCTGAGTATAATTTTTATGGGCCGGAACGGGCTCTGGGGGTGGTCGCCTCAGCTCCCCAGCAGTCACAGGAAGCCCCTATTTGTCTCGACAAGACAAAGCTTACCTGAGCAAAAAAGTCCTTGGGCCCACCACGCTCATTTGCATATCTGTCTGAGTCTGACACATGGTTATTCTTAGCTACAACTTTATACACAAGCAACCCAACACTAATCCGATCAGCTGATCGATCAGCTTAGACCAGTCAGCTGATCGATCAGCTTAGACCAGTCAGCTGACCCAATCTGATCACCTGATCTAATCAAACTTCATCATCACTGTGGGACTAGCTTTAGCTCTTAGGGTTATTCTCAGCCCTTTGGGGCTAGCTTGGCTTTCAGGGGCTGAGCTCTTCCAGGTTGGGCTCAGCTATCTCTTCAGAGCCTCTCTCTCTATTCCTATAACTAACCAAATAAAGGAAAACTTTCCTAACAGAGCACAAGTCTCTGCAGACCTAGGCTCTGCCCTTTGACTGTGGGTTCATCTGTTCAGCTCTGAGTTTCGGTGTTTGGGGCAAGGCCTCGGCCTTCAGGACAGGGCCAATCCAATCAGCCGAATCCACCAACTTGATCTAATTAGATGATCTGATCAAGCCTCCTCCTCTCCATTTTCTCTCATCTCTATTTTTTTTATTTTATTGATTTTTAACAGAGAGGAAGGGAGAGAGATAGAGAGCTAGAAACGTCGATGAGAGAGAAACATCGACCAGCTGCCTCTTGCACACCCCCTACCGGGGATGTGCCCGCAACCAATGTACATGCCCTTGACCGGAATCGAACCTGGGACCTTTCCGTCCGCAGACCAACGCTCTACCACTGAGCCAAACCGGCTTCGGCGATTTTCTCTCATTTCTAGCTTCTCTCCTCATTCTCTCAATTTTCTCAGTTCTCTCCTCATTCTCCCACTTAAAGATCCTTGAACGGGGCACTCAGTTTGAGTGTTACAACTTGCCAGAAGAGTTGGAGGTATCAGTGATCACATACAGAGCAGACGTTCTAAGCTGGAGAGTTTTGTTTTTCTAAAAAAACCCAAAAAACTCAGCACACAGAGTGCTTAAGATGGATCTTCTGAGAAGAGCAACTAGGGACACTGTTATTTCTGAATACTTAATTGTTCTTTTTGAATTCTCACCTTTAGGATGCTAGTTTTCAGATTAAGTTTCTTTGGCTTTCAGGGGAGAAAAATAAACCCACACTAGGGGTGGGAAGAGATTAACCAAAGATCTTATTTGCATACCAGAGGCCCAGCTCATGTATTTGTGCGCTAGTGGGGTCCTTCAGCCTGGCCTGCAGGGATCGGGCCAAAACCGGCTCTCTGACATCCCCTGAGGGTCCCAGATTGCAAGAACGTGCAGGCCAGGCTGAGGGACCCACCGGTGCACGAATCTGTGCACCAGCCTCTAGTACGCAAATAAGCAAAATAAACTGAAAGCATCATTTCTTTTCCTTCCCGACTAAATACATGTTCACGAAGTTGGGGGTCCCACTTCAGCTCCTTCCTCTTCCGACCACTTGCGGGGCCACTCCCATGGGGCTGTTGCATCCCTCAACAGATCACAGCTGATGGTGTGGGTCTTTTTATTTTATTGTTTTATGTCTAGAGTTCCCCACGAGAGGAAGAAGGAGAACAAGAAGCACGAGGAGCTGCCTGAAGGCCCGGCCCCGCCTTGTGGCCAGCTGCTGCAGAAGGGCGAGGGCGAGGGCGTCCACATCCCTGAGGACAAAGCCGAGGACGCGGGAGGTGACCAGCCTACGGAGGAAGGCCCTCCCCTCAGCAGAACAGAAGCACGGAAAGATGCCAAAGGTAGGGCCAGCCCAGGGCTAGGGACCCAGTCCTGGGGCACCTGCCAGCATCCCTCGGTTTTATGAAACAGGATCCCAGAGGAGGAGCCTCCTGGGCCCGGGGCGGAGCGGATGTGAGAGGAAACAAAGCTGTACACAGCAGCTCTGCAGAGCTGCCGCCATTTAAGACAACTCCCGCCTCAGAAGCTCTCATTTCCAGATTTAAGGATTATTATTTTAAAAAAATTAATTTCTTTATTGATTAAGATATCACATATTTGTCTTCAACGCTCCATTCTAATCCCCCACCCCCCACTCATGCCCCCACCCCCCTATTGTCCTTGACCGCTGGTTAGGCTCAGATTTAGGGAATCATCTGGTATTGGGCCAAAGAGAACTGCTCTCAGTGAAGCCAAAGGCTGTGCATGTCAATGTCAAAGCCACATACTAGTCCTGGGTGCCTGAGGGTCAGCCTCATCTTTTCCATGAATCTGGCTCTTGGAAGGAACAGTGGAGAGCTCTATCTCCAAGGGGATGGCTTGCTTCTGGCCAAGGGCCCACAAAGCCTTACCCCGTTCATTGCCTTTATTTGTGTGGAGTCGGGCCCTTCCACATTGGGCTCAGTCTCTAAGCCCAGCAAAGCACACACCTGAGCGCGGGGCACATCCCTTTAAGGCGGGACCAGCCGCCAGCCAATGAGGTATCTCGAGTTGGAGGAACAAAAACCCGTGGCCATGGTTTCCAGAGCTCTCATTTACCGACCTGGAGCTGGACGTGGGAAGTAGCCTTGCTGTTCGTGACCAGCAGAGGCAACACATCCTTGCATTTCTCCTGTGCCTTGAGCTAAAGAAATCAAACTTTTTGCAAAAAAAACAAAACAAAACTCTATGTATCTGCTAAGCATGCCTTGCTGATGGAGGAGGGGAAAGCCAGAAGGTGTTTCTTAGGTGGAGAGCTATCTTTAAGCCTCATTGATTCAGCGGCAGGTGCAACTCTGGTCCTTAGCATAGACCTATCCCTCCAAGTGTTAAACGCAGTGACAAATTGCAGTTGCCAAAAGGGTTACATCAATTCTCCTAATGACCTCCGGAGCCCCATTCACAGAGACACAAAGGGTGTCTGGTCACATCCACATGCTCACCTTTTTTGAAAATCAGTTCCAATTCCCTCATGGTTTTCTTGGTGGGAGTCATTCAGACCAACGAAAGCTGTGACGATGTAAGCCAGGTAAGACCAAGATTGGAAAATGAACCTTTTGCAAAGTCTAGTCTTATTCCCCAGGACGCAAACCAGCAGTGAAGGAGAATTGCAGGGCAAGAAAAGATGCAGCAAAAGCAGGAGAGCGAGGGGAGAGACCCCCTCCCCCCTTTTTAAAAAATATTTTATTGATATTTTACAGAGAGGAAGGGAGAGAGATAGCCAGAAACGTCGATGAGAGAGAAACATCGACCAGCCGCCTCCTGCACATATTGGGGATGTGCCCGCAGCCAATGTACATGCCCTTGACCGGAATTGAACCCGGGACCCTTCAGTCCACAGACCGACACTCTACTGCTGAGCCAAACCGGTTTCGACGAGAGAGAGACCCTTTATCTTAGTGAAGCCAGTGTACACGGAGTTCAGAATGAGCGTGAACTTGGGTGAAACTGCCTCCCCACTCAGACACTCTGAGGCTCTGCCCATGGCCGACAGCTTTTGCAGACACCCCCACCCCGCTTTCTGGGTTTCCCCTCACTCTCCCAGCCTTGCCAAAGTATAGTCCTCTCCACTGTGCTGAGAGTTCAAAGCTCCCTTGGCTTAGCTACCTTAGTTTCCCGAAGCAACCATTTATATAAACTCAGTGAAGCAACAAGAGCTGCAGAGAGTGCCAAGGACACAGGAATGGAATCGTCTGTCTGTCTGTCCGTTCAGTGACTTTGTTGAGCACCCACTCTGTGCCAGGCACTGTTTCAGGTGCTGAAAATACCTCGCAGATGCCATCAATGAAGAAGATCAAAGAGACTCGCGCAGGCAATGCATTCAGGGGCCCATTCCATCCCCCACCTGGACTCCAGCCTCAGAGAGCCCTGCCGGGGGAAGGTGAATTGAAATACCGCCCCCTCCCACGTATGGTCCCGTCTGGGCCGAGTAAAGACCTCGGGATGTCCGTGCTGGCTCCCGAGAGGGCCGGGCTGTGGCCGTCTGGGAACATGTGTCCAGGAAGCCTGCAGCTCCAGATCCACAGGCTGCACCCATGTGTTTCTGATTTCCCTCCCACTTGGAAGTGATTAGCACTTTCTTCCCATTGGGGGGTTCCTACCCACTTCTGACCCCGAAAGGCTCAGGAAATTACAAAGCGAGTTTTCCAACAGATGCTTTGGCCAGCGTCAGGCGGTCCCACCCAGCTGCCAAGTGGCACTCACTGCATCTTGTAGGCCTGGCACGTGACAAGGTCAAAGGTGGCCCGAGCGGGTGTGCCTGCTGGCTTGTGGGATGCCTGGCTGCACGAGGCCGATGGCCCTCTGTGCCCCAGGACACCCCTGAACCCACGGAGCTTGTGCAGGGCAAGAGATCCTGGCAGGAAAGATCCCTGCACATCAGATGTAAAGATTGGCAGTGAAGTAGTATAGTATGTGTGTGTGTGTGTGTGTGTGTGTGTGTGTGTGTGTGCGCGCGTGCGCGCGCGTGAGAGAGAAAGAGAGATTTTCAGAAATACTTAAAAAATAATGGGCTTCCACAGTAATTTGAGGAATTTCTGTGCAGGAATAGCGGGATGACTGTATGTGAAGAACCCGAAGCCACTCCCCAGGCAGAAAGCCACGTGTTGCACAAAATGTGAACCACAGCCCTTGGCTATAACCCGCTTCTGCTCCGGGGTAGCTGGGAGACTTGGGGAATTGCAGATCAAAGGGAGGTTTTGCTCCAATCTGCCAGAGGCAGGAAAACACATCGTTGAGACCAATAGCGAGTGACTGAGCATCCTGCTACGCATGCTCACCCTGATTAGATGGGTCAGCCCAGCCCAACGTTGTTTTTGTGTGTGTGTGTGTGTGTTTTTTTTTCTTCTGGAAAGAACAAATGTCTGAAAAAGGAAGGAGAGTCGATGGAGCAAAGGCTCAGGAAGAATGCTGTGTGGCTCTGGGCATCTCGTCCCAGGTCTTAGGGCCTCGGTTTTTGTTTTTCCTTTTGTAAGATGGAACTCATCCGACTCAGAGCATCAAAAGAATCACAACGTTAGGAGAGATCTTAGAGGCTGTAGTCTGGCTGCGAAGAGCCAGACACATAGTAGGCACTAAATAATTCTTGAGTCCACCAGTGGTGAAGTCATTGAGAGAAGGAGCAACCTGGGAATGCACACTGGCAGTCCTGTACGACATGCCTGCAAACAGTAGATCAATCCATGCAATTGATATCCACCAATGGGACCTCCCTCCCCCCGCCCCCCCCCCCCCCCCCCCCCGCTACCTACTGTGGATCCCTGGCCAAGCCCTTAGCTTCTCTGTACCGGACTCCCACACGGGCGTTCGTGTGCTATGGCCATGTGCCCAGCCATCACACACTCAGCAGCTTAAAACCACACCTGCGTTTACCTCACTTCCTGTAGGTGAAGGGTCCTCTGCTCAGGGTCTGATCCTAGGCTCAGGATCATGGACAGGATCCATTTACTCGCAGCATTGGAACGGACAGTGGCTTCCTCTGCCTGGGTTGCCTAGTGGGTTGGTGCACCAGCCCATACACTGAAAGGTTGTGGGTTCGATTTCCGGTCAGGGCACATCCCTAGGCTGTGGGTTCAATCCCCATAAGGTACATGGGGGAGGGAGGGATAATCGATTGATGTTTTTCTCTCTCACGTTGATGTTTCTGTCTTTCTCTCTTCCTTCCTCTCTCTAAAATGAACAAAAACATATTCTCAGGTGAGGATTGAAAAAAATAAAATGGAGGCAAGGCCAGCAAGACTTGAGTATAACTTCTCACCCCTCTTTTAAAGGGCTCAGCTAATGAGCTCAGGCCCACCCAAGAGAAAGTCCCTTTTTTATTAATCCAAAGTCAACTGGTTAGAGACCTTAATTACACTTGCAGAATACCTTCATCTTTTTTTTTTTTTAATTAATGTATTTTATTAATTTTTTACAGAGTGGAAGAGAGAGGGATAGAGAGTTAGAAACACCGATGACAGAGAATCATCGACCAGCTGCCTCTTGCACACCCCCTACCGGGGATATGCCCACAATCAAGGTCCATACCCTTCACCGGAATCGAACCTGGGACCCTTCAGTCCGCAGGTCAACGCTCTATCCACTGAGCCAAACCGGTTTTGGCATTCATTCATGTTTGCCATAAAGTAAGATAATAGGGAGTGACATCCATCATAGTTACAGATCCTTCCCACACTCATGCGGAGAAGATAACACGGGCAACGCATACCTGGGGAAGGCTCTCGGGGCATCTTAGAACGCTGTCCCCCACACCCTGTCCTGGCAGTGCTGCTGGCACCCGTCTCCTATGGCTGCTTTGAAGACTAATGAGGCAGTGACGGTAACCATATGTGACCAGCCGGCAGCAGCTGCTGTCATTGTTTTAGCATTGTTGAGCATCTGCTCCACGGCAGGCCCCAGAGCAGGAGCTGGGGATCGGGAGCTGAACGATGCCAACCGTGGCATTCCCCCCTCCCACACCCCATCCGAAAGCTGGCAAACAGCCGGAAAGCTTTCCTCCCAACTAAATGACTTTTGGATACAAAGACTTTGGGTTTTCTTGGCCCGTGAAAACCACTGTCGGAAAGAAAAAGTGCTGACTTCATTCAAACACTGCAGCCCACAGGATTATCATGTCCACCCGTAAGCGCTGCCAGCTCCGACCGCTGATGGCACGGATGGACTCGACCTCGCGCCCAGTGGCTCTGAGCCGTGGCTGCCCACGCCTGGGTCACCCGGAGGGCTTGGCCAGCTCCCATCTGTCAAAGCCCGGACGCCTTTGGCCTGGGGTGTGTCCTTGAATTGGAATTGTTTTTAAGCCCCTCACCCCCCCCCCCCCCCCCGGAGTCTCCAACACTCCCCCGGGGATGAGAGCGTAAATGGTCTGGAAGATGAATCCCCTTAAAGAGAAACCGCTGAGAATATGCATGCCAAAGAGACATGAGAGCAATGAAGCATTTTTTTCACTGGCTCCCAGCAAAGACATTGAAATTCACCACACATCACACCTTTTCAAGCCACTTTGCCATTAAAAAAATACATATTTTTGCCGAAACTGGTTTGGCTCAGTGGATAGAGCCTTGGTCTGCGGACTGAAGGGTCCCAGGTACGATTCCGGTCAAGGGCATGTACATTGGTTTCGGGCACATCCCTGGTGGAGGGTGTGCAGGAGGCAGCTGGTCAATGTTTCTCTCTCATCGATGTTTCTAACTACCCGTGTTTCCCTGAAAATAAGACATCCCCTGAAAATAAGACCTAGTGCAACTTTGGGAGAAAAAAATAATATAAGACACTGTCTTATTTTCGGGGAAACAGGGTATCTATCTGTCTCCCTTCTTTTCTGTGAAAAATCAATAAAATATATATTTTTTAAAAGTATATTTTTTTATTGATTTTAGAGGGAGCGGGAAAAGGAGAGGGAGATAGAAACATCAATGATGAGAGAGAATCATTGGTCGGCTGCCTCTTGCACACCCCACACTGGGGATCAAGCCTGCAACTCGGGCATGGGCCCTTGATTGGAATCGAACCCAGGACCCTTCACAGGCCGACGCTCTATCCACTGAGCCAAACGGCGAGGGCCCCTCTGACAGACAGCTCACCTGCTATCTGGGATAGCGTTGAGAAAAGATTAAAAATGCCCACCATTGCCCAGAAAGTGGCTGGTGCCCGGCTTGCTTTCTGCTTGCTCGTTCAGTGCTTGCTCCATCGCCTACCCGCAGGAAGCACCCACTGTGCACCAAGCTTCCTGCCGGGGGCGGGCCTTCGAAGCTCTGCAGGACCCCGACGCTGCCTCCCAGATCTCGGCCTCCAAGGCCGGAGACGGGCCCTGAGGATGGAGAGCCTGGAGCTCGTTCTTCGGTTATGAAGACTCATTTCCGAAACGTCCTCCATCTTCCCTAACCCCGTGTCTCTCCCTTCGGGGTTTATTCGCTCCCAGAGAGCAGCCTCTTCTCAGCATCCCTTCCCGCCTCCCCCGCCAGTATCCCTCCCAAAGGAAAATCACTCCCAAAGATAAGAACTGAAAAGCCGCCCAAGCGCTATCCTTATTTCACAAGGAAAAGGAGCAACAGGAAGCAGCAGCCTCATCCTCCCCCAGCCCCTCTAACCTTCCAGATCCTTCTCGGGGACCAAGGGGCAGGCACATCCTGAGCTGGGTGGGCGCGGGTCCCTCCTCCTGCCGGCTGGTCCCGGAGAAGGGATGGCCAGGGCAGCACTGAGCGGACGCCATGGACCGGGAGGCTTTGGCAAAGCCCATTGAGGCTGTGTCCCCGTGTAAGGTAACACTGAGCGGCGGCAGCTGCTGAGACAGCTGCCTCACACGGAGGGCCTGTGTGGTCTGCCGTGAAGACAGGATTTGGCTCCCCTCCGGGCCAAAGGGGAACTTTGCCCCCAGAACCTCACAGGCTCCTCCAAAGCCCCAGACACAACCCCAGAAGGTTCAGCTGGAAGGAAACCCAAGTCCCTGTTCAGGCAGAATCTTCTCCAACCCCCCACCCCCCCCACCCCCTCGCCTCTGTTTTGTACGCGTTTACTGAGCGTCCACTGTGGTCAGGACATCGTGAGAAGCTGTGCTGCCCCACCCCCCTCCCACCGAGGGAGGTTTTAAAATGTCATCCTTCCAGGATGACCCCAAAGAGTACGTGTGTGGGCTGACCCCACAAGGCCATTTAAAAAAATATATATGATTTTATTGATTTCAGAGACAAAGGAGAGGGGGAGAGAGAAACTTTAGTGATGAGAGAGAATCATTGACTGGCTGCCTCCTTCATGCCTCACACTGGGGACGGAGCCACCGCCCTGGCCTGGGCCCCGACCGGGAATCCAACCCGACTCCTTGTTTGTAGGCTGACGCTCAGTCACGGACCATGCTGGCTGGGAGCACAAGGTCATTCTGAGTTTTTTTTTTTTTTTTTTCCTCCTCTGACACCCCGGGAAGGCGAAGCTAAGCTCTCTGCTCTCTTTTGCTCTTTTGAAATTCTGAGAGAAGAGCAACAGGGAGCTTCCTGAGCCGCCACCCAGGCCACCTCCCAGGCGACGTCCACCCTGGTCCTGGCGGGGAAGAAGCGGGCCCTGGGCGTGGGCTTCTCCAACGTGGCCTTTCTCTCCCCGTCTGCTTGGAACAGACCGGAAGCTGCCGACCCCCCTGGGACCTGTGCATCCACCACTAATCTCGAGTCCGAGCTCCAAAGCTGTGGGACGAAGCGGCCAACTGTCTCCTCCCGGGGCCAAGAACTTCCAAATACACGACGTAAGTCTTCCCAGGGCCCCTTGCTTCCCTCCGCCAGGCAGACAGGTGACACGGTGCCCCACAGGGGGGTGCGCTGAGCAAATGAGGTGCCGATCTTCTCTTTACCATCCCACCCCATCACCTCCTGCCTCGGCGAGAGAGATGAAGTCCTGAACCCGGGTCATGGCGCGGTGTGAATCTCATCAGGGTTCCCCGAGAGAAGGAAAGGAGTCCTCAAAATTCGGACAGTTTTCTGAGGTCCCGAATGGTCTCTTCCACCTCAGGTGCCTCTGTTCTCCCCCAATGGCTGCTCCGTTTCCGCTGAGTGAGATGAGATCTCATCCCCAGCCTCACCCTCTGGTTCACAGGCTCCTTTCTGGGTGAAAGAGACATTTTTGGGAAGTTTGGTGGCAATCTAATCCTCTCTCCCTGGTGTCTTACAAGCCAGACGTGGCCTTCAACTGCTCCTCACGTGACAAACCTCTGTTGAGCACTTAGCACGTGACATGTCATCCATCCAAGATGGTGAAACGCAGGCTCTGTTTTTGAGGACCCTGGGGTGTAGCTGGGACATAATTGGGTAGAGAGACCTTGAAGTAAGACTCTCGGGGGAGATGGTTTGGAAGCCCAGAGGAGGAGCTGGCTCTGACTGGGGTGGGGGTGGGGGGTGTCACACACTTCCTTGGAAGCCAACATCAGAATTCTGAAAGATGAGGAGGGGAGGCAGCAGAGGAAGAGAGGGGGCTGCTCTGGCAGGAAAGGAGGTGCATGCGGATTTTGGCTCCTCTATGGGAAATGTCCTGGTGGTGACGATGGTGATGACGCCTTCCTAAAGAGAGGCGCCATGACAAGGCGGGAAGGAGCAGACAGAAGGGTCCAGGGTGGAGGACTCTCTCATCTTTCACGGGATACGGCTCTGCTCTCGGTCGGCTCCAGCCCGATCCAGAGTGACGGGGCTGGTTGGGCCTGGCACCTGAAGCACCATGTGAATTAAACTGGGTGCAAGAGAAGGTGACAGAGACCGCGGGAGAGAGTCCCTAGCGGCCTCCGATGATGGTCAGCTCCTCTGGCCCCACTGCCTCCAGATCTGCCATCGCAATGCCCGCCTGGCATCCTTACGGGCAGTGCTGGAAGAAATAAAACAACACACATTCATTTCCTGCTGTGTGGGAGGCAGGAAATGGTCCAACCCTCTAATTGGGATGAGGTTCCTGCGGTGTGTCCGGCCACCCACTCCTCAGCACACCCCCACTCCCCAGGTGTCTCAGTGAGAAAAGCGGGTACACTCGGCCATCATAGGCCAGACTCCATCTTCCACCATCACCTTGCCAACCATTTCCCTGCCTGGAAGTTCTGCTCAGTGGTTAGACCATTGGCCCGAGGACCAAAGAGTCGAGGGTCCGATTTCCTAGTCAAGGGCACATATCTCGTTTGTTCATTCATCCCTGGGGTCAGTCAGGGAATGTGCAGGAGGAACCAGTTCATGTGTCTCTCTCACATAGATGTTTCTCTCCTTATGTCTCACCCTCCTCTCTCCCACTCGCTTTCTATTTATTTTATTTATTTAAAAATATATTTTATTGATTTTTTACAGAGAGGAAGGGAGAGAGAGAGAGCTAGAAACGTCGATGAGAGAGAAACATTGACCAGCTGCCTCTTGCACACCCCCTACCGGGGATGTGCCCGCAACCAATGTACATGCCCCTGACCGGAATCGAACCCGGGACCTTTCAGTCCGCAGACCGATGCTCTACCACTGAGCCAAACCGGTTTCGGTCCCACTCGCTCTCTAAAGATCAATGGAAAAATATCCCACAAACCATGTCCCACGAACCATGCCATTTCAAGGCCGGGAAGGACCTCAGCCACTGAGCCACCATAGAGGTGAGTGGTGAGTCGAGGTCCCACAGTGAGTGGCACAGTCTGAATAGAACGTGCCTGCCCCCCCAATCTGCTGTGCAGACCCAGCAACTCATGGAGCGGACGGCCCTTTTCGCTACCCGCCAAGGCTATAGACCATCAAGTACCTCCCAAGACAAATGGTGGTCCGCCTAAAGCAGGAGCGGTGTGAAGTGGAGGTGCCTGTTTTAAGCAGTACACCCTGGCTGTGTGAGCTGGGGGGAAGCGCTCTCTGGGCTCCTCACCGCAGGTGCCTGTGGCCCCCCCGCCCTCCCAGCAGGGCCCTTTCCGGAACCTCCTGGACATGAAGACGGAGAAGAGACTGGCCGGCTGGAAGGAGCGTCGCAGTCGCTATGGGGACATCAACATGCACAAATGCTACCAGCTCGGGCAGGTCTTCACCCCTTTCCGGGCCCTGGCCACCATGGTAAGCTCGCTTTTCTTCTGGGGAGGGTTTCCAAGTCCTTTAGAGAGACCGGTGGCCTACGCCAACTCTTTCCCCTTTTGTGGGATGGGTGAGTCCGTTCTGGCCACGCAAATGCTGCACAACCAACTCCCCCAAACTCAGCGGCTTACCCTCACAAACATCTGTGCTTCTCACTCCCCTGCAGAGAAATAGCTCATTCTGCTTCTGTTGGCTCTGAGCTCCCAGAGCAGGAGGGAGCAGGGACTGGAGAACAAGAACCTCGTTGGCCACAGAGGCTAACTCTAGCCGACCTGAAGGTCGGTGGCCCGAGGTGGAGGACGATCTGAAGGCAGCTGTGATGCTCAGAAATACCTGTTTCAAGGGGAGAGAAAAGTCTGGGGAAAGGAGAGGATTCTGTGACGATGAAAGATGGTTCCCTTCCATCCCTTCATCTCACCTGTTACCTTCTGGGCCCAAGTCAATTCAAGTGCGACCATTCCCAAATGCACTTTTATGGAAGTATTGTTCTAGCTGTGCATACGTTCTAGCTGTGCATATGTTCTAGCTGTACATGTACTCTAGTTGGCATATGTTCTAGCTGTGCATATGTTCTAGCTGTGCATATGTTCTAGCTGTACATGTACTCTAGCTGTGCATATGATCTAGCAGTGCATATGTTCTAGCTGTGCATATGTTCTAGCTGTGCATACGTTCTAGCTGTGCATATGTTCTAGCTGTACATGTAGTTTAGCTGTACATGTACTCGAGCTGTACATGTACTCTAGCTGGTATATGTTCTAGCTGTGCATATGTTCTAGCTGTACATGTACTCTAGCTGTGCATATGATCTAGCTGTGCATATGATCTAGCTGTACATGTACTCTAGCTGGTATATGTTCTAGCTGTGCATATGTTCTAGCTGTACATGTACTCTAGCTGTGCATATGATCTAGCTGTGCATATGATCTAGCTGTACATGTACTCTAGCTGGCATATGTTCTAGCTGTACATATGTTCTAGCTGTGCATATGTTTTAGCTGCGCATATGTTCTAGCTGTGCATATGATCTAGCTGTGCATATGTTCTAGCTGTACATGTACTCTAACTGTGCATATGTTCTAGCTGTACATATGTTCTAACTGTACATGCACTCTAGCTGTGCATATGATCTAGCTGTGCATATGTCCTAGCTGTGCATACGTTCTAGCTGTGCATATGTTCTAGCTGTACATGTACTCTAGCTGTACATGTAGTTTAGCTGTACATGTACTCGAGCTGTACATGTACTCTAGCTGGTATATGTTCTAGCTGTGCATATGTTCTAGCTGTACATGTACTCTAGCTGTGCATATGATCTAGCTGTGCATATGATCTAGCTGTACATGTACTCTAGCTGGTATATGTTCTAGCTGTGCATATGTTCTAGCTGTACATGTACTCTAGCTGTGCATATGATCTAGCTGTGCATATGATCTAGCTGTACATGTACTCTAGCTGGCATATGCTCTAGCTGTACATATGTTCTAGCTGTGCATATGTTTTAGCTGCGCATATGTTCTAGCTGTGCATATGATCTAGCTGTGCATATGTTCTAGCTGTGCATATGATCTAGCTGTGCATATGTTCTAGCTGTACATGTACTCTAGCTGTACATGTACTCTAACTGTGCATATGTTCTAGCTGTACATATGTTCTAACTGTACATGCACTTTAGCTGTGCATATGATCTAGCTGTGCATATGTCCTAGCTGTACATGTACTCTAGCTGTGCATATGATCTAGCAGTGCATATGTTCTAGCTGTGCATATGTTCTAGCTGTACATGTATATGTACTCTAGCAGTACATGTACTCTAGCTGGCATATGTTCTAGCTGTGCAAATGTTCTAGCTGTGCATGTACTCTAGCTGGCATATGTTCTAGCTGTGCATATATTTTAGCTGTGCATACGTTCTAGCTGTGCATATGTTCTAGCTGTGCATATGTTCTAGCTGTGCATACGTTCTAGCTGTGCATATGTTCTAGCTGTACATGTAGTTTAGCTGTACATGTACTCGAGCTGTACATGTACTCTAGCTGGTATATGTTCTAGCTGTGCATATGTTCTAGCTGTACATGTACTCTAGCTGTGCATATGATCTAGCTGTGCATATGATCTAGCTGTACATGTACTCTAGCTGGTATATGTTCTAGCTGTGCATATGTTCTAGCTGTACATGTACTCTAGCTGTGCATATGATCTAGCTGTGCATATGATCTAGCTGTACATGTACTCTAGCTGGCATATGTTCTAGCTGTACATATGTTCTAGCTGTGCATATGTTTTAGCTGCGCATATGTTCTAGCTGTGCATATGATCTAGCTGTGCATATGTTCTAGCTGTACATGTACTCTAACTGTGCATATGTTCTAGCTGTACATATGTTCTAACTGTACATGCACTCTAGCTGTGCATATGATCTAGCTGTGCATATGTCCTAGCTGTGCATACGTTCTAGCTGTGCATATGTTCTAGCTGTACATGTACTCTAGCTGTACATGTAGTTTAGCTGTACATGTACTCGAGCTGTACATGTACTCTAGCTGGTATATGTTCTAGCTGTGCATATGTTCTAGCTGTACATGTACTCTAGCTGTGCATATGATCTAGCTGTGCATATGATCTAGCTGTACATGTACTCTAGCTGGTATATGTTCTAGCTGTGCATATGTTCTAGCTGTACATGTACTCTAGCTGTGCATATGATCTAGCTGTGCATATGATCTAGCTGTACATGTACTCTAGCTGGCATATGCTCTAGCTGTACATATGTTCTAGCTGTGCATATGTTTTAGCTGCGCATATGTTCTAGCTGTGCATATGATCTAGCTGTGCATATGTTCTAGCTGTGCATATGATCTAGCTGTGCATATGTTCTAGCTGTACATGTACTCTAGCTGTACATGTACTCTAACTGTGCATATGTTCTAGCTGTACATATGTTCTAACTGTACATGCACTTTAGCTGTGCATATGATCTAGCTGTGCATATGTCCTAGCTGTACATGTACTCTAGCTGTGCATATGATCTAGCAGTGCATATGTTCTAGCTGTGCATATGTTCTAGCTGTACATGTACATGTACTCTAGCAGTACATGTACTCTAGCTGGCATATGTTCTAGCTGTGCAAATGTTCTAGCTGTGCATGTACTCTAGCTGGCATATGTTCTAGCTGTGCATATATTTTAGCTGTGCATACGTTCTAGCTGTGCATATGTTCTAGCTGTGCATGTACTCTAGCTGTACGTTCTTGGGATTCTAAAACCTGGGTGTGCAAGTGAATTACTGGGGAAGCTTGGTCCTAATGTAGGGTCCCAGTTTGGAGGGTCTTGGGTGATGCCTTAGAATTTTCTTTTTTAACATATTCTCTCTTCACCACCTTTATGGAGCAAGACTCAGTCAGAGCTTCCCGCCCCTGTTCACGCCGTCAGCACCCCGAAGTCTGAAGGGGCCATTGTTCAGGCCGCCTGTGACCCACTCACAGCTCCGGTGCGCACAGGAGCCCAGGCAGTGCTTCACCCCAGAGCCAATGAGATCAGGAAATTTGGGGGCGGGTTCCAGGCATTAGCATGTTTTTAAGCCTCTTGATTCGATGACCAATCCACCCAGTTTCCCCAGGACTGACTCACACTTTTCCCGGAATTTCCCATCTTTTGACCCTAAAAGTCCTGAGTCCCAGAAAATCCCTCAGTTGTTGTTTTAAAACAGAAAGTCTTGAGCCCTTGGAATTTGCACAAACCAGACGATGGGGTCATTCTATCCAGGCATGATGTTAACACACAGCCATGTTTAGAAGGACTGCTCTCTGAACATTCTAGAAATCAGCCCCAATTTCTCATGTCATAGCTGCTGCCCATCTATCCATTCACTAGCCAACATTCCTTAGGCATGTACACAGCCTGGAGCTGAGAACTCCGGCGGACCTAGCCATGAAAATCTCCATCCTACCCCCCAGGAGCTTCTAGTCTGCTAGGGATACCGAGTCATGAGCCAAAACCAAGCTGCAGACACAAGTACAATGACACATTAATAAGAACAGCTCCATACATTGATAGACTCAGAAGGAGACAAGGACTCTCCAAATATGAGCTGCTTTCTGCAAACTCAACCCCAAGGTCATGATGAAGAGCAAAGCCTGCACGTAGGGACACCCTCTCGACTCACAGGGCCACCGGGGAAGAGCAGATTGGCCATGTATTGGGAGCAATGGCCCCTGTGTATTAAGTTCTTACTATGTGCCAGGTAGAGTGCCAAAGACTTCCCAGATCCTGAGCCTTAGGACCTCTACCCCACTAACATTGTTTTATCCACGAGGAAGCAAAAGATGAGGCCTGCTCGGTAACATGCCAGCCAGCAGTGGGGCCAGGATGAGCCTGCTGCGCTGGAACAGGTGCTCCCGCCCTCCATGCGTTATTTCATGGCCGTTGTTCTCTGCCTCACAGGAGATGCGAAGGCTGGTCTTTCCCCAACACCTGCCCATGAGTCTGCACATGCGCAAAATGGGCATCTCGTGCACCGACGAAGGGACTCTCCGAGACTTGCCTTTGTCTTCCACAGAGCTGGGCTTGGGAGCAGATGAGAAAGAGAAACCAGCCAGCCACGTTAGAACACCTTTATTCCCCCCAATAGTTAAAGCAACAAAATTTAATAACGTGAAAAAATAAAAATTACATACCTCCTCTCTGGCCCTCTGCTGCAAGGCTTTGCATTAAAAAATCGCTTAAATCCCGGGGAACTGGGAATGCTGAAACACTCTCAAACCCAACATGGAGATAGGTTGAAGAGTCCCACCAGCATGCCTCTGTGTGGACATCTGGAGGAAGGCAGAACAGTTAGGAGCTGTAATGCCCAACTAGAATGGAGTCTGCAACAAGGACACTTTTCTCAAGAGTCTACAGGTAGGGGGAGGGAATGGTTACAGTTCAATACGTCAAGGACCCCACTTTGGCCATCTTTCTGGTCTACCATCCCCCAGAGAGCTGGATGATAACCTCAGGATGAGTTCCTCGTGGTCACAAGACGGTTGCCACTGTGCCAAACACCACACACACACACACACACACACACACACACACACACACACACACAGATAGAGAACCTCTTCCAAGAACCACTCAACAGATTTTCTTGGCAATTCTTGGCCGGGTTGGTAAGGGTTGCCCAGACCATAGCTCCAAAGGAAGCTGGGAAGGTAAATCTTGGGTATTTACAGGGAGGCAGGTTCTACCCTCAGGAAAGGAAAGTAGGACAATGGCTGATGGGAAAGTCATTCATATCTGCCACAGTGGGGCACTGGGTGGAGGGCCATGTAGTTTGCTAGAACAGGGCTATTCTTCTGGGCTGGACTGGAGATGTAAATATCACCATCTCTATGCAAACCTGAGCGCCAAGTTGCAAGACACTGAACTAGCAACAGACAACTGGAACCGGGCTCACGGAGAGCATGCAAACAGCCTGCACTTTTATCATCTGATTAACATCAGGTGTTTTCAAATGAGGCTTGTTCTTGCTAAAAGCACACCTGGGTCTCAGACCTCCCATATCCTTAGGAAGCAAAATCAAACAGAACATCCCCCCGCCATTTTGTTGTGCTTTGTTCCTGTTTCTTGCTGACTAGAACCAAATGTTGCCATATGCTCCGAAAATGCCCAGTGTTGGCATTTTTTAAATTTTTTATTTAGTTTTATCTGGTCAGGGCACAGAGCCTTCAGCGAAGGAACCCTGTAATCTGTCCTTCACGAAGAACCATATAATTGAGCAATTGCCGTAATCGCTGAGGGCTGCTGTGTGGCAGTAAGCTTTGGGGTATTTTCCTTTTTTTCTTTTTTTTTCTTTTTTTATTTTTCTGGAAATGCTAGGAAAGGGAAGGCCCGCGTTGAGTCTTGGGCCTCAGTGTCCTCCCTCCAGGAGTAACAAAGGTGTGGACAGAGGCCTTGGTAAGCCGAATGGACCCTGCACCGAGCTTAGCAGCATTTCCCAGGCTGATCTGGTGTTTTCTTTTTTTCTTTTTTCTTTTTAAAAATATTTTTTTTATTGATTTCAGAGAGGAAGGGAGAGGGAGAGAGAGATAGAAACATCAATGATGACAGAATCATTGATAGGTTGCCTCCTGCACACCCCATACTGGGGATCGAGCCTGAAACCTGGCATGTGCCCTGACTGGAATTGAACCAAGACCTCTTGGTTCACAGGTCAACGCTCAACCACCAAATCACGCCGATCTTGGGATCTATCTTCACATCCATCTCTCTCCTTCCTTCTCCCTGTGTGTGTCCCACTTATTGCCCCTACCTTCTAAGCATCTTTCCTATGAATTATGTCCGTCCTCTCCATCCGCCCTCCATGATTAGCCTTAGCTCTCACTATTCTTTCTCTACATTTACAATGGCCTCAGAACCATTCTCCTGATCAGAAAGATTTTTCTGAAGCACAAACATGGATGTCTCTCCACACCTGGAGTGGCTCCCCGTTGCTGCTGTAAGAGCCCAAGTCCTCAGCCTGTTGCTCAGGGCCCTGCTTCCCCTGTAGCAGCCTCACCCCCTGCTTCTCCCATGCACCCTCTTCCGACTCCCCAGCCTCACATCCTTGCTCTTCCGCTCACACCAACTTCTCTTCACCATTGGCTGTCCTGGATCCTTACACTCTTACCTCTGCATCCAGGATTCCCTCTGCTGTGGCTGTCCTTCCTCTCCTCACCTCCTGGGGGACTCCTACGTACCCCCAGGAGTCAATCGGAAAGGCACGTTCTCTTAGAAGCCAACCCCCAACTCCCAGGCAGGATCAGTGCCCTCTGTTTGGCTCCACTGTTACAGTGTTCACCGTGATGAGTTGTGGTTGTCTGTTGTCTGTCTTGAGGGCTCTGCTTCCCTGAAGAGCAGTAATTATGTGTATTATTCACCACTGTATTCCCCCATGCCCGGTCCAAAGCCTGGCACTTAATGGCTACTCATTACATGTCTGGCAAAGGAGTGGATGCACGGGAAAAACGACATGGCAGCCAGGCCTTGGAAGACGGAGTGTGGTTTTGCACTAACCTGACAGCTGTTACTAAAGATGCTAACGAGAGAGCACAAGGTGACTCAGAGGTGAGTGGGCCTGTGACCCAGGGCAAGTGGGATGCTTGAAAGCTCCAAGAACCAAAAAGGAATGCCAGCAGACTCCCCTGCCGCCACCAGGACTTTGCTTAGGCAGCGCTGTGTGCTTTGTGTCCACCTTGTAAATCACTGTCTGAGAACGGCCATGTTGCGGCAGGCTTGCCAGGGAACAAACCAGGGAGGGCTCTGCTTGGGGACCTAACCCTGTCAGGCTAGTCTCATTCTATTGTAACAGGAATATAGTGCACACCCACTGTGTGCTTGGCTTTTTGCTCTACCCTCTCATGAGATTTTAAGTATTTGATGTTCTCTCTCCGCTCAGAAGATGGCAGTCTCACTGGGAAAGCTGGTATATACACATGGAATTATTAGAAGTCACAAGGCCATATGAGATCCATGTTAGATTATAAGAAATGAGCTGGGAGCCCTGGCTGGCTAGCTCAGTTGGTAAGACCGTTGTTCTGATATGTCAAGGTTGTGGGTTTGATGCCAGGTCAGGGCACATACAAGAATCAACCAATGAATGCATAAATAAGTGGAATAAGAAATCTCTCTCTCTCTCTCTCTCTCTCTCTCTCTCTCTCTCTCTCTCTCTCTCTCTCTCTCCAATAAATACATTTAAAAAATTAGCTGGGAGTAAACAGGCACCTAGGGGATGGATGGATGGATGGGTAGATGGATATGGATAGATGAGTAGATGCATATGGATGGATGGACACCTAGATGACTTGGATGGATGAACAGATAGAAAATGAAAAATTCTCTCAACTTGTAATTGCTTTCATCTAATAAGATACATGAAAAAATTATAATGCTTCCAAGTGCCAATCTTTCAACACTCCAAGTAGCACAACTCGCTATTGCTTTAAGCTGTGATACTGATGAATGAGGTGAGTTTTTGGAAGGTCGCAGGTATCGGTATGTTTTGGGCCTCAAATGACACCTTCTTCGCCCGCATAAAGTGCTAGTCCTGGCAGGAAGTCCCAGCAACTCCTCACCACTTAGGACTGAAAATAAGAGGCAAACAGGAAACAGTGTTTATTTTTTGCCACGAGTCAGCCAAACTCCCACACCTGTGCTGTGCATTTCCTATTGGGTGGTGGTGGTGTTGAGTCCAGTGAGAGAAGGGCGCTGCCCTACTCCCTTACTGTCACCTTGCTGGGTACAGAGTGTGTGAAAGGTTGCAGGGGCACAGCGAGAGACAGGTGCAGGAAAAAATGTCCCACCCTCCACCCAGGGTAACTCAGGAGGGTCGTGTTGAAACTCTCCCTAACACGAAGCCATTGCTTTTTGGCAATGGCCATGCCGGCAGGGAGTAGGCAGCATTTGATGGAAAGCCCTGACACAGTGGTTCCCAACCTTTCTAATGCCGCGACCCTTTAATACAGTTCCTCATGTTGTGGTGACCCCCAACCACAAAATGGTTGGTCTTAGGCTCTATTGCTAGCAGGGTCGCCTAAGGCCATCGAGAACACAGATATTTACATTATGCTTCATTAACAGCAGCAAAATTACAGTTATGAAGTAGCAACAAAAATAATTTTATGGTTGAGGGTCACCACAGCATGAGGAGCTGTAGTAAAGGGCCTCGGCATTGGAAAGGTTGAGAACCACTGCCCTAACAGAAATGACTGAGTCACCGGGTAGACCAAGCACTTCTGAAAATTGTTCTGTAGTGAGATGACTTGAAAGAAAATAATAAGACCCTTAAAACCATGGGACACGCTCTTTGTTTCCAAGCCTCGCTCACCAGGCTGGCCACGTCCGCCTTCCAAAGTTCATTTTGCCTACGAGTCCTCCAGTGAGTTTTTTTGTCCCACAGAGACTCCTCGAGAGAAGTGGAAGCGAGAGTACCTGTTCTAATTTAGACTGTTCTTTTAACTTCCTCTAAATTACTGTTATCATGGCCAGTCTTCCATGATGATGCACCTTGGGAGGCCAAGATGTCTCTGAGGTGCAGGCCCTTAATGAGGATCTTAGTCTGAGAGATGTAATTTGACGAGTCTGGCATTCACCGGCTCAGCGGGGCCTTGTCCCCGCTTGCCCTGAGCTCCCCTCGCCCATAGGAAGCACTCTGCTTGGTTCTTTTCCGTTTTTTCATGGCCGGGGCACCTGACCGTGTCTGTCTGCTTGGATCTGCCTGTCTGTTCTTCACTGAACAATAACGTCACCATTGGACACTCACTAACAGGCAGACTGGAGAAACGCCTGAGAGGAAGTCCCAGCAGAAGGATGCCACAGATCAGTATGCTATACAGCTTGAATAAGAAGTAGAGGAGTTTGGCCGAAACCGGTTTGGCTCAGTGGATAGAACGTCGGTCTGCGGACTGAAAGGTCCCAGGTTCGATTCCGGTCAGGGGCATGTACGTTGGTTGCGGGCACATCCCCAGTAGGGGGTGAGCAAGAGGCAGCTGGTCGGTGTTTCTCTCATCGACGTTTCTAGCTCTCTATCTCTCTCCCTTCCTCTCTGTACAAAAACAATAAAAATATATTAAAAAAAAAAAAAAAAAGAAGTAGAGGAGTTTGCCTTTGAGTAAAGGGAAGTCGAGGTGAGATCGGTTAGTAACATT